TGACCTGAGAGGACGTCCCTGTGGGCTCAGCCCCCTCTCTGTGACATTCTCTCCCTGAGGTGCCAGTCTGCAGGGGGCATTTGACCTAGCTATTCCCCTCCTGCATATGTTCCTTGAAGAATTTAAACTATCACACAAGAATGGTCTATGTGCACCCATGTTTAGAGCAGCACAGTTTGTCATAGCCAAATCTTGGAAGCAGCCCAAATGCCTGTCAACCACAGAATGGATAAAAAAGATGTGTTTTTTTTAATGCAAGGAATACTACTCAGCCATAAAGAAGGATGAATTGAGGACATCTCTAAGTAAATGGATGCACCCTGAGACTATATTCTTAAGTGAAATACTTTGAACATGTGCAAATATTGCGTTGTCTCCCTGGTATGAGAGGCTGAAAGTGTAAATAAGGACCAAAATATATACAATAGATATTATCAAATAAGAAAATATTCAACTGGCCGTGGTGGCACATGCCTGTAATCCTAATCTCAGCACTCAAGAGGCTGAAGCAGAAGGATTGCTACAAGTTTAGGGCCAGGCTGGGCTAGAAAGTGAGTTCTAGGCCAGCCTGAACTACATAGTGAAACCCTGCCACAAAAAGACAAAGAGAAGAAACAGAAGGAGGAGAAGGAGGAGGATGAAGTGGAGGAGGAGGAGGAGGAGGAGAAATTACTCAAAAGAAAAGAGGAAGTAGGAAGGGGTAAGGAAGGAAGCCAAAAAAAAGAAAGCCAATAAAAAGCATAAAATGGAAACATAGCTTTGTAAATAAGACAAGGAAGAGGATTGAAGGGAGGGGAGGGAATTGGGAGAAAAAAAGAGGAATAGAGATATATCATATACATGTACAAATTCCCTATGGGGAATGTGACCATTCTGTATATCTAAATTGTGCAATAAACAATAAAGAAGAGCTCTTAGAGCCAGGTGTGGTGGCGCTCGCCCGTAATCCCAGCACTCGGGAGGCTGAGGCAGGAGGATCGTTTTGAATTCAAGGGCAGCTTGGGCTACAAAGTGAGCTCAAGGCCAGCCTGAACTGCAGAGAGAGACCCTGTCTCCAAAAAAAGAAAGAAAAAAAAGCTCCTAGTGACAGAGCTCGGATGTGAACCCAGGCAGCAGCCTCTGCACTCTCTGCTCCTATAGTGCAGAACCACTCTACACTGTGTAGACGTTTCAGTGGCACTGTCGCTGTAGTCTAACTCATTTTCTTACATTCTTCTGTCTAATACTGGGAACATACACAATTTAAAATGTGCAAGACCAGATTACAGGGCCAGGGTTGTAGCTCAGTGACACAGCACCTGACTGGCAAACATGAGGACCCGAGTTCCATTCCTGCTACCAAAAACAAAAAAGAGAGAGACAGACCAGATTATAGCGTGTAGGGGCATACAGTTGGGTAATAAAACCACCAAGAGACACAGATAAGAGATTATTATGAGATCAAGTAGAAAGAGAGCTCTAATTAGCACAGGGCACACGGGTTTGAGGGAGTCTAGAAAAGTTCTGTCGATCAGGATGGGAGTTATGGAAACTTTCATCTTGTGAGAATTGATTAAACACTTTTACTTGTTAAAGAAGAAACGACAGTGCAAGTGTCCTCTGGCAGGGACCCCGCTTTGCTCTTCATTTTACCCCAGTGTCCGGATCATCTCTGCACAGCAGAGGCCCTGGAGGCTGCCGTCAGTGTGCTGTGCACAGGAAGCCACACCGCCCTGAGGGCTCCTCAGCGCCAAGGCTGGCCGCCTCCTCCTCATCACAG